AAGCTTTTAATTAACAACGTCTCTACTCAATCTTTTATCATCGAAAAATTGGTTCGAATTCATTTGCTAACTTCACAAAACTGATTTTCATTGTTTGTGACAGTATTATCATCAAAAAAGTGATTATTTTGCAGTGATGAATTATCTTTTTCAGGGACTATAAGCTTTGCAGTTAAAACTATTTTTTCTGTTTTCCAGAATGCAAGCAATCTATTTATCCTCACATAGTATTCTTTTTTCTTTCAACTTGCGTCAGCTTTAACAAACATCTAGCTCTATTCATTCGTAGCGGATGTAAAGCTGTTTTTTTCTGCGAGTATGTACATATCGTTACACGATTTCATTTCTTGCCAACAAGGTGTTTTAAAAATTTTTTTCGACGCTGTAAATTTTGGTAATATTGACCAGAAATCTGCAGTATTTTCTGGTTAAAAATAATACTGCTTTTACCCTGATGTTGGGAAATTATGGGTTTCAAGCAAAAGATGTAGGTGTTTTATTCTGTTTCGTAGGTGATAAGCAAATTCATAAAAAACTGGAACTCCGATTGTACATTTTTACAGTTTTCTCTGGTAGCAAATCATATTGTTCTCAGTTACTTCGATATTGAGAAAAATGTCTTGTTATTGTCACGAGTATTAGCCTTTTATTTTCTCATTACTTCCTGTTTCTTCATCTAGTACTCCTAGTTACGAAGATGTTGAGTCTAATTGCCTTCGACAAAGAAAATCCATTCTGACAAGTTGCTTTGGTCGAATGGCGACCATACGCAAATACAGATCATTGTCAAATACTATAAATTTGTCACGACTTGTATTCATCTTATAATCGCCAATTTAGATGACTTGGACGTGGACCTGGTGGCTGGACACGATCAGCAATCCTTTTGAATTCCTGTATTTGTCTTCGGCAGAACTGCCCAGCCCCGGAGTTATACTATGGATTCTCATGGTGAGTGAAGAATTGTCGGGATTTGATTTATGTATGAAAAGAATAATTTGCCTGCAGTTTATTTTGAGCATTCATAAAAAAAGCATTTAGTAGTGAATTCTTGTATCCTTAAACTTAAAGATGAAGCAATTTTTTCGAATTTCAGCTCTGCTATTGAGTTCTTAGCTAAAAAAGTTTAAATTTCTTCATTCAACAAATGACGAATTGATATTTGTTTACAATTTCCATATTTTAGGCGATTATCATCATCCGCTTTCTTCATATATTCGGATCGCCTGCGGTACCTCAAGTAACATTTTTTGAGAAGTCCAAAAATACCGCCATGAAACAGCTGATCAGCGGAATTGACATGCTCAAGGAACCGTAAGTAGTTGAATTCTAGTCAGAACCACTTTTAGGATCAGCTTACTATGAGAATGCTCTAATAAATGATATAATCCCTTCATCTTGCGGTTTCATGATTAAACACTGAAGGACGTTAATGTCATACTGACTGATCCCTTTAAATTTTTAAAAGAATAACTCAGAGCAGCGGATGCAATCGCTGTGAAAGGCTATCTCAACCATTCGGCTTCCTCGTCCATCAAATATCTATGCATAGAAAGCCTTCTTTTGTAAACGCTGCATTTGAAATGACGTCCAGTTTTGTTAGGGCATGAAAGAGATGACTTTGCATAGAAATGATGAACGAATTTAAATGCAAATTATTGCAATTATGAATCTAAATTTGAAGCTGATAGGCCTTAGTAAAGCTTATGCGATGTTCTACAAAGCTTATAGATCATATACTTCTATCATCAGCTATGAAGCACAAACAGTGTCTCTGTTTTTGAAAATCACGAGAAAAAAGTTAGAGAAGAATGAATTTGACTGATAGGTGTTGGGTCGAAGGCTGTTTATCACTAACCGGCCCCACCCCTGCAAACTACTGTTCACTTAAAATTTGTAAATTTGTAGTCATAAGAGGTTATTAATCTTTGTTGATTTACTTGAAGAACCCTACAATAGGCCACCAATTA